ACCCCCCCCTCCCTTCGGCAAGGGTTTCTAAGCTAGGGGGCCCCTGGCTAAACGGGGGGGGGGACTTCGAAGCTACCCCCCCTCCCTCCCTTCTCCGCAGCAGAAGGTGAGCCCGGGCTTCCCTTTCAAAGGGGGGGGGCTTCGGAAGCTACCCCCCCCTCTTTCGTTTTTTGGTCTGAGCACAGGGGGGGGGCGGCTTCAAGCTACCCCCTTCCACCCTCCTTTGCAAAGGGGGGGGGGCTTCCGAAGCTACCCCCCCCGCTCCCTTCCGGGGTCATGGCAAAATGGCTGAGTCCCTGCAGACAGGTGCGCGCCGCAGCGCTAGAGAACGCATTGGAGAATATCGTCGACTCCTGGTTCGTTTTCTTGTTTTCTTGTTTTCTCGGCCCCTGGATCGTAGTCTCGTTTTCTCGGGCCCTGATTTCTTTTATCGTTTTCTCGTTTTCTCGGCCCCTGGTTAGTTTTCTTGTTTTCTCGTGTTTTCGGCCCCTGGGTCGCGGTTTCGTTTTTTCTGACCTTGGTTAGTGTTGTCGTTTTCTCGTTTTCTCGGCCCCTGGGTCGTGTCTTGTTTTCTCTGACCCTGTTTCGTTTTCTCGTTTGTTCGTTTTCTCGGCCCCTGGGTCGTGGTTTTGTTTTCACGGGCGCTGGTTCGTATTCTCGTTTTCTCGTTGTCTCGGCCCCGGGGTGGTGGTCTCGTTCTCTCTGACCCTGCTTCGTTTTCTTGTTTCTAGTTTTCTCGGCTCCTGGGTCGTGGTCTCGTTTTCTCGAAACTAGCGTTTTCTGGTGATTTCGGCCCTTTGGTCGTGGTTTCGTCAGACCCTGGTTCGTTTTCTCGTATTCTCGGCCCCTGGGTCGTGGGTCGTTTTCGCGTTTTCTCGCTTCCTCGGCCCCTGGGTCGTGGTCTCGTGTTCTCGGGGCCTGGTTCGTTTTCTCGATTTTTGTTTTCTCGGCCCCTGGGTTATGGTCTCGTTTTCTCTGTCCCTGGTTCGTTTTCTCGTTTTCTTGTTTTCCGGCCTTGGTTCGTAGTCTCGTTTTCTCGGGCCCAGATTCCTTTTCTCGTTTTCTCGTTTTCTCGGCCCGTGGGTCGTGGTCGTGTTTTTTTCTGACCCTGGTTCGTTTGAGCGTTTTCTGTGCCCTTGGGTCGTGGTCTCGTTAGCTCGGACTTTGGTTCATTATTGTTTTCTCGTGTTCTCGGCCCCTGGGTTTTTGTCTCCTTCTCTCGGGCGCTGGTTCGTTATCTCGTTTTCTCGTTTTCTCTGCTTCTGGGTTTTTGTGCCGTTTTCTCGGGCACTGGTTTGTAGTCTCGTTTTCTTGTTTTCTCGGCCCCTGGGTCGTGGTCTCATTTTTCCTCGCACGCTGCTCTGGTTTATCGTTTGCTCGTGTTCTCGACCCCTGGGTCGTGGTCTCGTTTTCTCTGACCCTGGTTTGTTTTGTTTCTTCTTCTTCTCGACCCCTGGATCGTGGTCCCGTTTTCTTGGGCCCTGGCTCGGTTTCTCGTGTTCTCCGTTTCTCGGCCCCTAGATGGTGGTTTTTGCTTTGTCGGACCCTGGTTTGGTTTCTCGTTTCCTCGTTCTCTCTGCCCCTTGGTCGTGGTCTCGTTTTCTCGGACTCTGATTTGTTTTCTCGTGTTCTCGTTTTCTCGGCCCCTGGGTCGTAATCTCGGTTTCTCGGACCCTGGTTCGTTTCACGTTCACTGGTTTTCTCGGCCCCTGGGTCGTTGTCTCGTTAGCTCGGACCCTGGTTAGTTTTTTTCGTTTTCTCGTGTTCTCGGCCCCTGGGTTTTTCGGCTCGTTCTCTCAGGCGCTGGTTCGTTGTCTTGTTTTCTCGTTTCCTCGCCCCCTGGGTCGTGGTCTCGGTTTCCCTGACCCTGATTCGTTGTCTTGTTCTCTTGTTTTATCGTCCCCTGGGTCGTGGTCTTGTTTTCTCTGACACTGGTTCGTTGTCTTGTTTTCTCGTTTTCTCGGCCCCTGGGTCGTGGTCCAGTTTTTTCTGACCCTGGTTAGTTTTCTCGTTTTCGCGTTCTCTCTGCCCCTTGGTCGTGGTCTCGTTTTCTCGGGCCTCGTTTCGTTTTCTCGTTTTCTCGTTTTCTCGGCACCTGGGTCGTGGTCTCGTTTTCTCGGGCCCTGGTTCGTTTTCTCGTTTTCTCGTTTTTTCGTCCCCTGGGTCGTGTTTTGTTTTCCCTGACCCTGGTTCGTTTTCTCGTTTCCTCGTGTTCTCTGCCCCTGGGTCGTGATCTCGTTTTCTCTGTCCCTGGTTCGTGTTCTCGTTTCGTTTTTTCTCGGCCCCTGGGTCGTGGCCCAGTGTTCTCGGACCCTGGTTAGTTTTTTAGTTTTCTTGTTTTCTCGGCCCCTGGGTCGTGGTTTTGTTTTCTCGGACGCTGATTTGTTTGTTTCGTTTGCGCGTTTTCTCGGCTCCTGGGTCGTGGTCTCATTTTCTCGGACCGATATTCGCATTTTTTCGGCCTGGGTCGTGGTCTCGACCCTGGGTCGTTAGCTTGTTTTCTCGGACCCTGGTTCATTGTCTCGTTTTCTCGTTTTCTCGGCCCCTGGGTATTTGTCTCGTTTTCTCGGGCCCTGGTTCGTTTTCTCGTTTTCTCGGCCCTTTAGTCGTGTTCTCGCTTCCTCGGGCCCTGGTTCGTTTTCTCGTTGTCTTGTTTTTTCGGCCCCTGGGTCGTGGTTTCGTTTTCTCGGGCACTGGTTTGTTTTCTCGTTGTCTCGTTTTCTCAGCCCCTGGGTCGTGGTCCCGTTTTCTCTGACCCTAGTTGGTTTTCTCGTTTTCTCTGCCCCTGGGACGTGGTCCCGTTTTCTCGGACCCTGGCTATTTGTTTCTGACTTTGGTTCGTTTTCTCGTTTTCTCGGCCCCTGGGCGGTGGTCTGGTTTTCTCTGACCCTGGGTCGTCGTCGTCGTCGGTCGTCGGTCGTGCGTCATCCCTCGTCCGTCGCCGTCTTCGTATGACCTTGTCCTCGTCGTGACGACCACGACGAGGTCATGCGAAGACGGCGACATTGATGGCGACGGCGGCGACGACGACGACGGCGTCGTACGAAGACGTCGAGCGACGGCGACGGCAACGACGACGACTGGGGAGGATCGTTCGGCAGGGGGAGTTCAAGGGAGCGGGGTGGTAGCTAAGCCGCCCCTACCATTTGGAAAGGGGGGAGGGGAGGGTAGCTTCCGGCAGGGGGGGAAATTTGGAGGGAAAGCGGGGGGGGGCTTCCGGCAGAGGGGGGGGGGGTAGCTAAGCTCCGATCCCCTTTCGTAAGGGGGGGATGGGGGGGGTAGCTTCCCAGGTGCCGAAACGGGGGGAGGAGGCAGCCCCCCCCCTTTGGAGCCACATGGGGGGAGGGGGGGTAACTTCTGGCAGAAGGGTGTCAGTGGGATGGTGGTGGTAGCTAAGCCCCCCCTCCCTTTGGAAAGGGGTGGGTGGGTAGCTAAGGGGGGACCCCCCCCCTTTGCTCCGGCGGTGTGGGCGCGCTCTGTCCCACCTGCGCCCAAGGGGCTGGTGGTATTCCTTGCCACCCTTACCTGGGGTCCTGGCCATGCCCGAATGTAGTCGCAGATGATGGGCCTGGCCCCCGCCGTGCGCCCCGAGAGCTGGGCCGCCCCGAGGTCGCGGTGCGGCGGGGGGGCCCGCCCTTTTTGTTTGTTGCGCGCGGCAGGGGGCTGCGTTGTCCCTCAAGGTTGGGTCGCCGGTAGGCCCCTTCCGCAGATTTTTCGTCTTTTTGTTTTTTGGGTAATTTTTTTTCTCCGAGGCGTTGACCCCCTGGAATCTCGACCCGTTCCCCAGGCCGGCTTTTCATCCTGAGTTGTCATGTGACGGCCCTGGGGGCTGGGACACGGACTCCAGAGGCCGACTCTTGTAGGGCAGGTCCAAGGCTCCGAATGGGCGTGCACTAAAATCGTTTGTGCCCCATCAGCCCTCTTGTGACAACGTGCACCGAGAGTGCGTGCGAAGAGATTGTATGGCGTGCGGCGCGCACCCTTTGTGCTTCAGACACCACGCGCAGCTGTGATAATGGAAAAAAGCAGCGCGAAACTGCATCGTTGTCACCAGGGCCTCCGCCGCGACCCTGGGGGTCCGCGATGCTGTCCCCGCGGACTTGTGTCGTCGAGGCCTTGTGCCCATGCCCGATCGGGTTCACGGGCGCCCTTCCCGACGCGGCCGCCGTCGGTCCATCTCGGGAGGTCTTCTGCCCAAAGTTGCGGGTCCTACGGTGCCAGAATTGAAGGCGGTGCCCCAAAAGAGTTTTGAGTTGTGTTGTGCCCAACCTTAGTTCGGACGCGAGGATGTTCTGCACCGTTTGCCCGCGTTCATTTGGGGCACAAATCTAATGAGATCGAGCTTCTTTTCCCGGCACAACCAATTTTTCATGATTCATTTTTGGGCACGCGGCCGGTCAATTCAGGCATCCACTCCAGGCACCGTGCGGCGCCGTTTGGGGCTCGCTAGGGGTCAATCTCGGGCACGTGTCCAAGCATTCGAACGTTGGATTGCCAGGACCCCGTGTCGAATCAGCGCTGTGGTGTGTCGTGATGGCGCATTGTCGCTACGGGTTCGCGTTGCAAAGATGGAGTCCGAAGGGCCTAAAGAAGAGGCTTTGAGGGTATTGCACATTGCACAAAGAAGATTCGGAGACCAGGCAGGCATCGGGCAAAGAAGAGCGTGGGCCACGAGAGTATCGAAGAACACCAGGAAAGCAATCGCGAAGTACACCGCGCTTGAACAAAACAGAGAATTTCGAGCACCATTTGGGGCACACTTTGGATACCGCGCGGGGCACCGTAAATTTCTTGGACCAGCCCGTGATTTCACGAGTGGTTGTGAGAGTCCCAGATCCGAGGGGGCGTTGGAGGCCTGGGTGCCGCGTAGGGAAACGTTTCGCTTGGATTGGGCTCTTTCGGCGGACCCCACAGCCAGGCTGGGTTCGGTCTCGGCCGGGTTCGGATCGGACTGCGTAGCCCGTGCCGTCGTTCGCTGCGCTCCTCCAGCCCGCCCCGAGGACTGCGTGCTGGTGCCTGACCGCCTCCGGTGGCGGCTCGGCAGCTTCGGGGCGGGCGCGGGCGTCTAATGCCATCTCGAAGGAGGAGGAGGAAGAGGAGGAGGAGGAGGAGGAGGAGGAGGAGGAGGAGGAGAATGTATGTCCCACGCTAGTTGTCCAACCTAGCATTTCATTAGATCGAGGCCGACAGGTAGCTGGAAGTGGGGTCGCAGAGGAGGGGGGCGGGATAAGGAAGATAAACGCACTGTGGAGAATGGTCATCATCGCTACACAATGCCGTACATCTTGCAAGCCTTCTCTTATCGATTAGGGGCAGTCAGAAACGCCACGCGGTACACATAACTACTGCAGACGGCGCGGAAACACTGACTACCACGGCTGCAGGTTGACGAGCGACTAGCGCCTTTGAGCCTCAGGGAGAGGAGGGATGAGGAAGAGGGAGCGAGAAGTGATGAGGAAGAGGATGCGGATGAGGATGGGGATACGGATGAGGAGAAGAAGGATGAGGGGAGGAGGAGGATGACAAGTTCAGGGAAAGGTAGGAGGAGGAGGAGGAGCAGGAGGAGAAAGAGGAGGATGAGGAAGAGGAGGTCCGTAGCAATTTTGGCGCAATATGAAGCGGGTGAACCTAAACTGACATAGCGAATCCTGATCAGCTTTGGCTTGCGTCCTGAACATTGTTTTAGCGAGCGCTGTCGCAGCTGACAGCGCGGGGCCTGCACCGCGTCTCTCTTTTCTCTTTCACTGTCTACTGCTTCTTTTTGGCATCTGGGCGCTGTTCGATTGCGGCAGTTCGAGCAACAGCGGGCGCGACCAGGAATTTTATAGTCTGGCTGGTTGAGACTGCAGGTTGCGGCGGTAGTGGGGATTGTTACTTTGCCCATTTTGGCTCCGCAGCCGTGAGGCTCGAGCCAACAGGGTTGTGCCGGTGGGCCGTGGCCCGCCAGAACCGCGCCGCGCCGGGGGCGGCGCCGCGCGGGCGATTGCACTCTAGCGCCCGCGAGCCCGCGGCGAGGCGGACATGCCGCCATGTATGCTTATAGCACATTGCTCCATCATCGCTTTGGGGGCATGCTGAGGGACGTGGATGAGAAGTGGCCACCCTGGCTGGCGCCCCGACCTACTTCGACTACTGCTGCTGCAGCGGGGAGTGTGAGGATGGTGGCGAGGGGCCGAGCGTCGGCCAGCCGTGGCGAGCCCGATCAGCTCGCGACGCCCCCCCCCGGCGTGTCGAGGAAGGCTCCGAAGGAGGCCGTGCCCCCAGCGCCTCTTCCTGGCGGCGGGGACGGCAGCTCCGGAGGGGAGTGCGGCGTGCCTTGCAACAGGGAGGACGAGCAGGAGGCGGAGGAGGATGCGCAGGAGGAGGCGCCGGGAACGGTGCCAGCGGCCGAGGACGACAGCATATTCTTCCGCCCCCGCAGTGGCTGGCTCCGCGGGAGACGCCGCGCGGTGACCAAGTCCCGTTGTTGGGCGGCGCCGCGCTGCGGTCAGCTCCGGGGGCAGCACCGAGCGCTGCGGGCTGGCCCACGACCTTTCCGTGGACTGTTGCGCGTTGCTGGTTGCTGGTTTGGCTGGCTTGCTGGTCGCAGGCTGGCTGTGTCGCCGCCGTGTGGAGGCCGCGGTGGGCACGAAGAACTCAGAGGTGCGCTACTGGTCGTCCGCGGCGCTGGGCGCGGGTGCAAAGCTAGCCGCCGTCGAGTCGCCATCTGGCGATTTGGATAGGGAAATCACCGAGCTGGACCAGGCCCTCGACGAGCAGCGCCGAGCTTGCGAGACGGAGCTGACGCGCAGGGAGCATGCAGAGAGGCTGCGTGGCAACGCCGAGTCGACCGTGGGGGCGTTGGAGGTGAAACATCGGGTCGTCCTCAGCCGGCTCGCCGTTGCCGAACGGTGGACCTCGGAGCTGACTGGGCTGCGCGCGGAGCGGTTCGGGGCGCAGGTCAAGCGTGACGAGGTCGCCGCGGCCCAGGCGCGTGTCCAGGAGCTGGAGCTGGACCTGTGGCGTGCCTGGCGCGACCTCACCGTTGGGCTGAGGCTTGCCGACGAACTAGTCCAGCGAGCTCGGAGACTGGCGTCAGAGCTGGAAGCTATCTTAGTCGCAGCGGCGCGCGCGCTCGGACGTGGCGGGTCGGCCGAGTAGACGGCGGCGCTGGTCGCTGTGACGCGGCTGCTCGCCGCCGCGGTCCTTGAGCGACCCGGCGCGGGCTGGGGGACAAACCGGCTAGACGAGTTGGAGTGGATTGCCGGCGACCCTGGAGAGGTCGAACTAGGCCTGGGGGTCGCGTTGGACGCCGTCAGCGTCGCCGACGAGCGGAGAGACGGCATGCCCGACGCCACCTTCGACAAGGAGGTCCGCCCGGAGAGGAGAACCAGGAGGCGGAGGGGGGTGGCTACCAGCATCCAGGAGGGCGAGGGCGCCGACGAGGCGAAGGGTGCGGCGCAGCGGGCGGATAGCCTCACCCTCGGGGCAGAGCCTCGCGAGCTTCTGCGGGCCCGCCTAGGCGAGCCCGAGGCCGCGGTCGAGGCCGTTGGCGGGGCAGGGGCCTGACCGGCCGCGGTCGTCTCGTCGTCTCTGGCGGGGTGGCGGCAGAGCCTAGCCGCGAGGCGAGGGCGAAGAGGAGGGCGAGGGTCATCGTGAGACCTCGGCTGGCATCGGAAGAGCGGGATGTCAGAGGAGTTGTCCAGGCGCAGGATCAGGAGCACGACGATGACGAGAATGACGGAGAGGAGGCGGATGACACCAGCTTGCGCGACGCCGCGGGGGGGGGGGCTTGGCGAGAGGCGCGGAGGATGATGGGGCGACCCGCGCGGACTTCCTCCCGCAAGCCATTGGGGTCGAGCGGGGCGCGCGGAGCTCTACCTGGCACTTGGCAGCTGGGCCTGGCGAGGACGGCGACGTGGGGGCGCTCGACAGAGACTCGGCACGCCGACGACATCCCGAGGGATCCCAATGCATGCGTAAAGTGCACGCGTTAGATTCAACAGAACGAAATATTCAAACAAAAGACATACACATGATTTTCTTTAGATTCGCTTCATTATCGCGCGCGGCATTGCATGTCAGTGTTTTTTTCATATCATGTTGTTTCCTCTTGGTTTGTTTTTCATTCTTGGTATGTTGTTCCCTATGGTGCTATGTTGTTATTTGGTGTTTGCTCTTAGCTTGTTATTTGTTCTTGACTGGTTTGCAACCTTTCCTCCCCTCTCTGGGTATTTCTTGTTGGTTTTCTATTGGTAATCCTTTTTCTCGCCCCGCTCCTCCTTTTCCTCCTTCTCCTCCTCGCCCCGTTCGTCCTCCCCCTCCCCCTCCCCCTCCCCATCCTCCTCGATCCTCCTCCTTCTCCTCCTCCTCCTCCTCCTCCTCCTCCTCTTCCTCCTCCTCCTCCTCCTCCTCCTTCTCCTCCTCCTCCTCCTCCTCCTCCTCCTCCCCCTCCCCCTCCTCGTCCTCCTATCGGTCGCAGGCGCGCGGAGCGAGGTGTACGTGGGCCGTGAAGAACGCGAGGCAGATCCAGACCAGCTTGCTCACGACATCTATCAAGCCAATCTTCAATCAATCGTGTCCTGAGAAGAAGGTTTTCGCCGCCAGCTAACAGGGCGCGTCGTCCATCAACCCGGGGCCGCTGCTACAGGTGGAACCTCGCGAGGGCGACGAGACGCCGATCGTGAACTGGGCCAGCGGCGACCTGCTGGCGCATGGCTTCGAACGCGCCAGGCTGGTGACGATGGTGCAGCCGGCGCTTCTTCGAGAGACGGGGTCGGCCGAGTGGAGTCTTTGGCCCACTGCATGTGCTTTGAAGTGGCGGGCGCGACAGCAATCAAGTGCGAGTTTCCACCTGGAACGCTGGTCCCTACAGCACTTGAAGATGAGAGTGAAGCTGAAGTGGCGCCGTTGTTTGTTGAATCTCTTGCAACCAGGCATTTTGGTCTCTGTGCAGGAGGCGCATGGCACGGCGGCGGGGGTGAGCGATCTGCTCCACCGCGCGCGCAACGATTTCTCTTTCTCTCCCTCCTTCTTCCTTCTCTCTGTGAGTCGTGGTGGTGTTGTCACCTCTTCCCATTTTTGAAAAAAATCAGAAGATCATTGTAACGTATGTAGTGTGGAACAGCCTATAGTATTTACCCATGGTGGTGGGAATGTCTTGAACTCTCATATTCAGAAATAAGAGTCTCAATGCTGATGAAAAACGTATGGTGTTAGATCACGTTGTAACTGGCCTAGCTCTAGCTGGGGAAGACCCCCTGTCTTGGACGATGATTTGCCGGTGATTTCAATTTCGACAGGACAACAACGACGGCGGGACGACAACTGCAGCGACGGCGAGGCGGGCCGAAACAACAGAAAACACAATGAGCAGGAGGTCGGGAATAGTTCGGACAACTGAGCTCCGTTTAGGATTGGATGCGTTGACGCAGCTGCTCAGGCTCAGACCAGTTTGTTTGTTGATACTTACATCAAGAGGAGGAGGAAGAGGAGGAGGAGGAGAAGTGAACAGTGTAAACCAAATGTCCATCAACGATCATCATCCCTGTCTTTCTCCCTTTCCCCCCACCTCCCGCCCGTGTTCTCCTCCCTCCTCTTCTTTCTCTTCCTCCTCCTCCTCATCCTACCCCTCTCCCCGTTCCTGCCGCAGGTGGGCAATTTCTACGTGGCGAACTGCGACAGGAGGGCCCCAGCGCTTATTCCTGGAGAGTTCGCGGAGGATCATCACACCACCCCTCGAATTGTCAGGGCCACGGGTGGCGTATAATCATCGATGGCGCTCGCATGCGTAAGTCGTGTTTTTTTTTTGTTGGGGGGTGCCTCGGGTATCGGTTTAAATAGTGACGTAAAAGCAGAAGCGCAATGTTCGAGAGTGCCACTGCATGTGCCAGCTATCCTCTTTGGGCCCATGACGGCTGTCAAATCACATTCGGCAAACGGTTCGATGTCTCTCCCTTCGTCTCTGTATGTTTGTTTGCCTGGTTGCTTGCCTGTCTGCGTATCGGTCTGTCTGCCTGCCTGCCTGTCTGCCTGTCTGTCTGCCTGCCTGCCTGTCTGTCTGTCTGCCTGTCGACTCCCAGATTTGCCGCCCAGCCGCCTAAGTCTGGCACGTTGGCAGCCGTGCACTCGGCGTGGTTCTGTGTGTGAGTCAGCCTTCCCTCCCCCTTTCTGCTGCTGCCCTTTTTGTCCCCAGTGTTTCGGCTCGGCGGTGACTCGGGCCGTCCTGTCGCTTCACCCGCACTGTGTATGTGTGTGTGTGTGTGTGTGTGTGTCTCTCGCTCTGTTCGCCCCTCCACGGCGCTCGCTCCCGAGGTATGTGGATCTCTGGTTCTAGCTGGGATCATGTACGGCTAGTTGAGCTTGCTGTGCCCTCAGGGTCGCCGTTCTGGAAACCAGCGTTTGGAGACTTTGTGCCGTGTCACGTAGTTGGCGGTCATTCCGCCGCCAGCGTAAAAAGAACGAAGTTTGTGTTTGTGCGTGTCTGCATGTGTGTATGTCTGTGTGTGTGTGTCTGCGTGTGTTCGGGTACGGCTCGGGCCGCGGGACGCTTCGCTTTCGCTTTGCGGGGTTCCGCCGAGGCAAAGTGTAATACCGAAGCGTTTTGATTTCCAAGCATGTGGCGACTCTCGCCGCCCAGCTTCAGACGACGGTCGAGAGTGACACATTTCTCGCAGGCCCGAGGCGACCGCAACAAGTGATTTCTGTAGCCCTGAGGGCCCACAGCGTTGCAACATGTCACATGTTTCTCTTCGAGGCCCCGTCAGTCCGTGACGTGTGGCAGCTCGCTCGCCTTCTGCGACTATGGTGACATGGCAACCGTCGTCCCCAGGGCCCAGGGTGGCGTAAAATATGGCCGATGCCTTCCCAGGGCCTCGAGGGTGATGGGGAAGGGGGTACGGAGTGGAAGTGGGAGTGGGAGGACCAGGGCGATGTCATGGTGATGGGGGGGTGAGTGGGGAGGGTGCTGGAGGTGTCTTCGCGGCAACCTGATCTGCTGAGGCCACAGTGCGCCGCTTCTGTATGATATCGAGGGTATGTTCCTTCCTTGGGTTCGTTGGAGGGCTCATTGGGAATTTCTTTTGGTCTTCGCTTGGGCTCTTCGCTTGGGCTCTTCGCTTGGTCTCGGGCCATCTGTGGGGGTCTTGGGACTGTTCTGGAGGGCCCCAGGGCCACCGCCACCTAGCCGGGTCCTGCGACCGCCCTGGGCCAGTCGCTGGCTGTCTTGGACCCGTTTCGGGGAGTCTTGGGTTGTCTTTGGACCATTTTTGGGGCTGCTCGGGCCTCTTCCGGGCCGTTTTGGGTGCGTCTTAGGCCTCAGGGGTGTCTGGGGACGGCTTGCAGCTTCAAAGGGAATTCATCGTCAGAAGCAAAACATGAGCCAGCTTTTGTTTTTCAGTGTTTTTGATCTCCTATTTTCTGCAATGCATGTTGGAGGCCTCTTGGGTCTCTTGGAGGCTTTTTCGGTCCTCTTGGACGCTTCTTTCGATCTTTGTGGGGCCGGACGGTTTCTCCTAATGGTGAAATAAGCGTTTTCATGGTGAAATAGAAATCTTCATGGTGAAATAGAATTTCTTAATGGTGAAATAGAATTTCTTAATGGTGAAATAGAATTTCTTAATGGTGAAATAGAGTACCTTAATGGTGACATAAAATACCTTAATGGTGAAGTAAAATACACCACGTAAAAACATCACGTAAAGACTCCACGTAAAGACTCCACGTAAAGACTCCACGCAAAGACGCGCCGCTCCAGCGACGCACGCAAACACCACGCAAAGACGCGCCGCTCCAGCGACGCACGCAAACACCACGCAAAGACGCGCCGCTCCAGCGACGCACGCAAACACCACGCAAAACCGCTACGTGGTGTTTTTGCGTGGTGTTTTTGCGTGGTGTATTTGCGTGATGTCTAATTCACCCTCCAGCGTTCGCGTGGTGTTTTTGCGTATTGTTTTTGCGTGGTGTATTTGCATGGTGTTTTTGCGTGGTGTCTGATTTCACCATTAGGACGAACTCTCGTGGGGCCGCTAGGGTCTTCTTGGGCTCTCTTTAGGGTGTCTGGGGGGTCTCCGGGGCTATCCTGGAGGTGCTGTTGTGTCCTGAGGGATCCGGTTTGGATCTGCCCGCCATCCTTGGCCTAACCTCCATGCAGTCAAAGAGGGCATTCTTTCTTTTGGAGGAGGGCAGGGGGCGCATTAGATTCCCAGGCCCACGCACGTACAAGGTGCATCTGGGAAAAGGCGCGCAGCTTCTGATGTTGAAAGAGGCCCCTTGGGGCACCTAGCCATCCCATGTTCGAACTATGGGGAGGCCACTCCCGGAACAGCGGGCGAGTCAGCAGCTGAGACGTTCACTTACGTCAGTGCAGGGAGCTCATCCCAGCACGAGACAGAGGCCGACCGTAGACAGGCCTCCCAATCGCGCCAGAACATTGGCGAGTACAATCATGAAACGATGGACCTCTTCATGGATCAGGCCGTGAACGGCGCGATCGCCATGATGGTCAGCTCGACAAGGGACCACTGGTATCGATCTGATCGTCCAGTGGATCGCCATGAGATGACCAGGATACTGCTTGCAGGCGTCCACCACCAGGTGACAGAAGCAGCTGATAAGTGGGATCTTGACCCAATGACGAATGCTCTCCACCCACACCTGGAGGAGGCAAGGGACTGGCTCACTGGCAGCTCCAACGTGTCGAGGGCGGCCACGCCCAGAGAGGACTAGGGCACTATCCCGATTACGGAGGACAGGCCACAGGTCTTCCACATCGGAGACCCTAGCTCGTCGTCGCACAACACCGCCGAGCAGGGCACCAGTGGGGGTAGGACATGCTCGAGCGACGAAGTGCCGGGCATCCTACCCCACATAGATGGCCCTCGTTGACCAGGGCAGGCGGGCCCCCTGGCCAAGCCTGCTTGCTACCCCAAGGGGGGGCCAGAGGCACGGACGCACGCTCCACAACCAACCCGGAAGTATATCACTGTAAAGATTTGGTAATAGAAGATATCCGCACGGCTTCCGCCGAACTGCGCCGTCGAGGATATATGTGCGATCGTATAGCACACAACGAGGCAATGGCATCGAAGGGGACACAACATCTCGGAGGAATCCTATCAGGAGGCTGCGCTCTGCTCTGGGTGGCCACACCCGCTGACTGGTATAATAGGTTGCTAAGCAAACAGGCTGGGCCACACTACAAGAGAATACGTCACCTCCTGACCAAAGCACAAGCTTTCAGGATGCAAATAGCCTTGGAAGGGCCGCACGGATAACTCTGGAAATTGGCTCCAGTACAAGAAACCATCCAAAGCCTTAAACTCAGAGAGATCCTGATGCACTCATGCCATCTCGGCGTCAAGTTCGATCGTGTCAACGAGAGGCCCAGTGGCTCCAACATACAGGTATTTACATAGTGCACGAATTTACCAACAACGCTATGGAGATGCAAGTGTACATGTACCAAGGAGCATGTATTGGACTGGTACGGACACGACCAGCAACGCGCCGAATGGCGAAACAAGACAGTGACATTCCTGACAGCACAACTTGTGAACGAATTTTGTAAGCATACAAACAAACACAGAACGCAAGCTGACCTGCAAGTGTTCACTCGCACCGACACGTGCGTACATGGCTACCTACAGTCCAGCGACAGCGGACCACGTTGGGTCAGCGTAGTACGCCCGTTTACACTTGACCTTGACACACAGAAGGGGATTGCATTTATCGAAGTTTCGGGCCAACCGACAGGTTATAATTTCAAAGCACCGTTACCCAGTGGAGTCGGCAACATACGTACGAGACTGCACTGGGAACACAGCGCCCCCGGGGTTGTTCGGACACGGGCATGCGCCGCCAAGCCGCTAGAAACGAGTTACGTTCACAGAAGATGATCGCTCTCCTCCCTTTTCGACTGGGCTTGACGACGGAGTCCTGCCCGAAATGCCCACCTTTCCGATCTTGGCGGACACGCCAAACGTACAAACAACATTGCAAACAGATGCCCGGATAAAGCAATAAGAAAACCAAAGAGCTGATGAGGAAGCTGGCATCATACCGGAGAATCTGCCCAAACACGTTGAAGATGGCAACGACGATTGTGGTGACGACCTCAACGGTCTAGGAGGTGCCATGCTGTTCTCCGACGTGCAAGTAGAAGAGCTGGAGTCAGACGATGACGACAGCCTCTTCTTAATCTTCCCAAGCGGCACTGCGGACGCGCATGCTGAAACATACTTACCATTGTGCCTACCTTCTGCTATGGAAGGGACTGCGGCGTAGATATTTTGAATCTATGTGGAGACCTTGGCGGCAGATCACAGCCAGCCTTCAAGAGAAAGCTAACTTCTGGAGGCAACCTAGACAAACGTGCCAACGTTGACCTGGGCAATCCACACGTACAGCAGGCTTTGGAGCTATCTCCGTACGTGCTTGGTCACAGTATTTATACGACCACCCAACTGCAGAACCACCGATTTGCCTTCGTGCTTTAACTCCCAAGTCAATTACGGCGCGTGGTACAAACACCACCGGGATGACCTTCCCCACGCAACTTTCTGTGGGACAGTTGCCGTCATGCAACGCGACCTTCAACACATGTTCCCTAGGGAACAGCCGGTTGGCAACTGGGTGGGCGAGATTGCCCCCTGGACGACGCCAGTCAAACGCAAGGCCACTCG